TTTTTTTTTTTTTTTTGGGGGAATTTTCGCTCTTTTTTTGGGGGAATTTCCTCCTTTCTTGGGGGGGAATTTTCGCCCTTTTTTGGGGGGAATTTCCTCCTTTCTTGGGGGGGAATTTTCGCCCTTTTTTGGGGGGAATTTCCTCCTTTCTTGGGGGGGAATTTTCGCCCTTTTTTGGGGGGAATTTCCTCCTTTCTTGGGGGGGAATTTTCGCCCTTTTTTGGGGGGAATTTCCTCCTTTCTTGGGGGGGAATTTTCGCCCTTTTTTGGGGGGAATTTTTCTCCTTTTTTCGGGAATTCCGGAGGGGAACTTTGGCCCCCCCTTCCCAAATCTTTGACCCCCCCAAAAGGTCCCAAATTATCCCAAATTTTCCGAAAATATCCCCAAAAAAACCCGCCCCCCCCCCCCCCCAATCCATCACTCTGCGCTCGATTGCTCCTCCCCGGCACCTCTCTCATTGCGAGTGATTGACAGCTCTCTCAGCCAATGGGAGGACAGAGCTTTGCCAGCGCTGACCAATCGGAGCGCGCGGGGCGGGAGGGGGCGTGGCCGCCGCGGCGGCGCGAGACAGCGGCGGGAGCCATGAAGTGAGCGGGGGAGGGGCGGGACTTTGAGGGAATTTGGGGGGAATTTGAGGGAATTTGGGGGGAATTTGAGGGAATTTTGGGGGAATTTGTGGAGATTTGAGGGAGTTTGGGGTGTCCGGGATAGGGTTGGGGCAGTTGGGAGGTCCCAGGAAGGGTTTGGGGGTGCCGGGCTGGGCTTTGGTGCTGTCCCAGCTCCGGCAAACTCCAAAATTCCTCTCAAATCCCCTCAAATTCCCCTGAATCCCCAAAAATCCTCCCCAAATCCCTCAGGATCCACCCTGGGATCCCGGGGATCCCCTCAGGCTGAGCACGGAGGGGTTTTTGTGCCATCCCAACCCTCAAAATCCCGAATTTCTTCCCAAAATCCTCCCCAGATCCCTCAGGATCCACCCTGGGATCCCGGGGATCCCCTCAGGCTGAACACGGAGAGGATTTTGTGCCATCCCAAACCCCAAAATCCCCAAATTCCCCCCCAAACCCCCCGGGATCCGCTCCCGGGATCCACTCGATCCCCGGGGATCCCCACAGGCTCAACATGGTTGAGCTCCTGGTGTTGTCTGAAGCCCCCAACCCCCAAAAATCCCCCCCAAACACCCCCAAAATCCCCCAAATCCCCCCCAAACCCCCCGGGATCCGCTCTGGGATCCACTCGATCCCCGGGGATCCCCCCCAGGCTGAACGTGGAGGGCTCCTGGTGCCGTTCCCAGCCCCCAAAAAATCCCCCCAAACCCCCTCAAATCCCCCTGAATCCTCCCAAAAATCCCCCCCCCCC